CCAAGGAGTCATTGCCAAGGAGTCATTGCCGAGGAGTCATTGCCAAGGAGTCATGGCCAAGGAGTCATTGCCAAGGAGTCATTGCCGAGGAGTCATTGCCGAGGAGTCATTGCCAAGGAGTCATTGCCAAGGAGTCATTGCCGAGGAGTCATTGCCAAGGAGTCATTGTCAAGGAGTCATGGCCAAGGAGTCATTGCCAAGGAGTCATTGCCAAGGAGTCATTGCCAAGGAGTCATCAACCGGAGGAAGAGGCGTTCGGAGGTCATGTGTTGCATCAGGCAGGCAGAAGGACCCCGTTTCCTCCTCATTTGGCAAGAACTTCTCATGGTCGTTTTAACAGGTGGTCCTCTCCGACCTTCTCCGTTGTCTAGTTCATGTCGCTGCGCCGGCTCGCGCGCAATGTTCTGAGTTGACGGGAAACGGAGCGTCTCGTGGCGGTGGCCGGAGCGGCCGGTGCGCGATGTATCGACACAGTTGATTGCTACATTGTTAGAGATACCGAGAGCGTCAACTACTAGGGCAATTTTCTCTAGGGTGATCTTCCCCAGCTGGAATGCGAGATCCGGCGCTGACCTACCGTCAGCTAGCGGGGCTTCTCGCAAGCAGGCACCGCCCCAGCCGGGTCAAGCTCTTAGCTCCCGACCCACCAGTCTTCCGATAGTGTATGTGTGGTAGTGTAGTGCATGTTAGTGTAAGTGTGTGTAGGTGAGGATATGATAAAGAAGAGGAAGATTGCGCGCGGTCCGTGACCCGTTTGCTAGGGTACTGCTTTGGCATTCGCCTGGTGTTGATAGGAGTAATAACAAAAAAACACCATTCTGATCAACCGATCACTATATTTCTCCTCCAGACAGAGACTTAATTCAATCTTCATAGTTAGTGACGAAAATAAATTTGCCGAAATCATGCTACTTTTGGGACTCGAACCCTGGGATTTCATGTTGAGATGGCGGGGATGTGACCCAGGGAAGGGGGGGGGCGGAGAGGTGTCCGAGTTTTGCGTCCAGCAGAGAAGCTGGTTTCGTCGAAAGCTACAGCAAGAGAAGCGGCGCATTCAAACACAGAATGTGAACAGTGCGTTGGCGGAGCAGCTCTCTCCGTTGGCCCGAACCTCCCCACCCTCCCACTCTGTCGTCTAGTGGCTCTTCTTGACATTATCCTCTAGCAGTATGCTTCTTTATGCTGAAAAAGTTTAAGAGAAACGAATTTTAAGAAAATACTTTAAAATTCAGTAGGGCAGAAAAAAAAGAGCGGACTTCTATGCTCTAGCGGACACATTTTTCCCATCAAGAATAATCTCTTATTTTTCTTGCACAAGTGAGATCAAGTTCATAGAACTGGAAAGCTAGCAACATATAATACAAATATTATTCTTCTTTTTTTGTATTTCTTAGAGCGATGAATTAATTAGAGATCTCTTTTAAAACTGTATACATGAAAATTCTCGTTCATTATTATCGGAGACAGTGAGACGATCCAGTATTTGAAACTGCATTACAGCTTCTGCCCGACATTTTTGTTTCTATTTTTATCTCTGCTACCAAATAACTGATTCAGTCTATCGGGACGAGAACCATTTGCATTCGTGGGCGTCTATTCCGGAGCGCGCCACCGCCGCCGCGTCCCGATCCTTCCACCCGACGGCGAAATCCCAGCC